ATTTAATTAGGAACCTGTCTGAGGAAGTTGTAAAAGATTATACCTCATAGCTGGATCTGATCCATCTGTTAGATGGAAAATGAATAGCTCTGGGGTTCCTTTTGATTCTGTAGTTCTCTAGCATTGAACTAAAAAACCTCCAATCCAGCTGCTGATTCCCGGTTTCAAATTGATGCTAAAAAAAGGCTGCAAAATTTTTACAAAGTCAGAAGAGAGTTTGGAATGTTGCAGTTCCTGGTTTTCAACATGAGAGTCAAGAGTGCAAAGTGTAGAACATTTCCAAGAAAACAGATGTCAGTATACAAACTTCCCCAAATCAGATGCATTTTCTTGTCTTGCTCAGTCTTGTCCATGAAAGCATTGTTCTGAGTTCTACATATTATATTTTTTTCTTATCTTCTAGACACAAGAGAGATAAAAAATTCCTTTCATATCTCTTACTATACTGCATGACATACTATCATTGCATCTTCTGGCAGTAGCAGTGCAAGTATCTTTGTGAAATGCTTATATCCTCACTTCATTTTTTCCTACCAATCAAACCTCGCTTACATTTACAGTTACTCCCAAAGTAGGAAACTGCCTTGCAAATAAAGGTGAGATACTCTCCACATTATCTGTGTTCACAACTAGTGCAGCAGTGAGGACTTATAAGTCTGACGTACCTGTGGTTACTTTGACACACTTAAAAATGAAATATAAATTCCACTGAGCATGACCCAGGGAATTAACAGAACTAACTACTTATATATATTATTAACAGAACTTGTCATATAGGAAAACTGTAACAATTATGGGCATCATATTCTTCCTAAAGTTATATAGAATTACTTCAGATTCCCTCTATCAATTTTAAGATGTTTACTTCAAATTTATACTCACGCACTTGGGTTCTAACCTGGCCCAATGTTTTCACATACTGCCTCCTCAAATTTCTTTCAATTTTTTTATAGCCCTTCTGAGAAGTTTTCTGTAAGCTTATCTCCATTCTTTCTAGGCAAAAATTAATTGTTGATAAAAAAACCCCTCTGGTCATCCATGCAGCAGCTCTCATTCTTCGGTTTGAACTAATCCTGAGGGTCACTCGTGATATTTTGAACAGTAAAGTGCTCATTTATAGAAACAGTCACAATAAAAATCCTTTTTTCTCAGAAACCAAGAGCAAATGAAAACTTAATCAAGTAGCATGGTTTTCTTTTTAATGGTATATCTTTGGAAAAATACTCAGCAGAATGTTTTTCTCCTTTATCATAGGGAAAAGATGACACCTCCCATGGAGAATAACTACAAGTGGCCCAGCAAGATGTTCTTACTTTGTTTGTTCTGTGACCATGAGATATAAAAAAAAAAAAATTTTATACATATGAAGGAAAATTACAGTACAGCGCAAAGAAATTAGGTAAAGAAAAATTTCTACTCCTAGTCTCAGTTAAACTTTGACCTGTATTAATTACTGAATTGCTTGCATTGACCTAAAAACTTATTAAAAAGCTGAGCAAAAACTTCTTTCAAAAAACTTATATGTAGTTGAGCTACATGAATGGTCCCTTTTCAGCCATCACTAGACCCCAACGATATTGAGCAAGCAGTATGCTGGAAGCAAATCATACTTTGTCAGCCTGAAGAAATCAGTCCTGTTAGCTACAGCTGTAAGCAATGAAAGTCTCACTGGCAACTTTTTGCCATTCAACTGTGCATAAGAGACCATTAATCTCTAAACCAAAACACCACACCTAAAGCAGTAAGAGGCACAAATGGATTACTTTTTCTACCAGGCCTACATGTGTCTGTTTAGACATGCTCTCAGGAACAGAGAACTGCTTTTTGGCATGTCTAAAACCAAACACTACCGGCAAACCGATTGGAGAATATATTAAATGTCATACACCAATTTCTGTATTAAAAATCTGCAATGCAGGGTACAATTTTGCCCTCCTCATCTGAAAAGGGCTGTGTAAAATCCTAATTGAGTAGAGTAACCTAGAATCGAAGAAACTCCCCAATAAGAGATTTTCCCTGTAACTGATCTGAATAAAAGGAAGCAAAGCGGAAGTGAAGGGCTGACCTAGTCAGATTGCACACTTTCTTGGAATGGCCTTTTGCTCTTGAATCATAGAATGACAACAAAATGAGAGAGGAAACACATTTCTCACTGCTATGCCATAGGCAGTACCAAGACTCTCAGCATGCTAAATATTTATTGTTATATGGAACTACTCTTGGAATAAGTCACATTATTGGGTATCAACTTCTCAACTTCTTTCATATGTCTCCACTGGGCTGGAAGAAGCCCTGAGGAGCTGGCTGGAGTAGGAAATCAGTTAAGGGAGATGGTTTTTTTTCAGACTACTTTACTAAATTAATCACAGCTGTAGTTGTCTAGATAAACAAAAGCCTAGAATAAACATTGTGTTTATTTTTGTCACATGACATTCAAATATAGTATTTGTGGCACATACTAAGTGGTTGAACTCGTTTAAATGATGTAACTAGCTTTTAGTTAGAAAAACTAAATTCAACACACAAAATGATAGAAGTGAAACTGAATAGGGAGAGTATTCTTTTTCTTCTCAGGATGTATGAGTTACTGGCTCACACATCACTACTTAGTTACATGAGTGAGTCACTTTAACCTGTCAGTACTAAGGAATATCTACCATCCCAGGTGGTAGTGTAGTAGACGTGTCATCTGGCTTTATTGAACAAGAATCCTCACAAGAGAAGCAAGCCAGCCTGTTTTCAAGCAAACAAATTTCTAAAAGACAGTTGCTTGCAGAGAGTGGTTCTGTCAACTAAGGGATTTTGGCCAGACAGGAATATTAGCTGTGAGAACTGGCCTTGGAAAAGCTGTTGAAAGAAGCCACATGAGAAAGTTTATATGTGAGCATGCAAGAGGGATGCAAGTATGGAAGGGATCAATGGTAAGGGACAATGGAGCACAAGGTCAGGGAATGGATACTCTGTGCCATTCGAATACAGCTCCGATTCTGCAGAAGTCCCTTATTTAGCATTTCCTGCTGGTTAACTCAATGGGTTCATGAATGCCTCACTAATAGAAAACACCAGACTTGGAGATTTTAGGCCATGTGAAAACTGATGCATGTGATAAGACAACAGTTTTCTCCTTAGCGTTAACTCTGTCCTAAGTGGTTCAGCTGCTTTCACTGGCCAAGGAATCAGAAGGTATAGAGAATGGAAACGTGAAGCATTGGGAGAACAGGGCTCAGCGTGCATTTGAGAATCTGGAGAAAATTTGCCAGCTGCATCTGTAGGTGCCACAGAGTTACCTTCAGTGCCTAAACAGCAGGTGTTAGAAAGGGGGTGGGATGTCTTGGTGATAGCAGTGCAATACCTGGTTGTTGGTCAACAAATAAGAAGGAACTAACTCAGACCTGAATACTACTAGAAGATAGACATAGGAGATGGAGATCCCCATAAGGTAAAGTTATGGAGAACAGAAGGTGAAAAACATGATGTGATGCACCAAGCAGCACTGACTACAGATCCTCACTTTACATTTCCAACACTACCTTTGAGCCCTCGCTCTTTTCCAGGCTCCTAGGCCTTCACTGGAAAAGGACCAGCTATAAATTGTGGCTCATGTAGAAAATACACAAGTGTGAAGTTGTCTTCTGTATTCTCATCTTGTGTTATGTTTCATTTGTGGCTTTTCGTCTTTCATTAAGGACCTTCTAGTCAGCTACACAGTACTGGAGAGAATTTTAATAACTGAAGGCATTTATGAGCTACTGTCGGGCTGCAGCCTTGTCACCAGCAGCCAAACCTCTCACAGAGTGCCAAAACTCTCAAACAGCTTTCTTTCCACTTCCTCCTCTCTCTACTTAATTTTCCTCATTGTGGACCCAGAGAAGTTGTCGTGGTTTACTGCAAGTCATGTTTTGGCCCTAAGTTTGCCAGAATTTCTTTTGAGATCTCTTGAAGTGAGGTTGTAGTATTATCTATGCCTTTGGCTATGGAAAGTGTCTCCATTGAGATTCATTTCCCTTTCTACAGAAGAATATGTGCTTACACTGATGTTAGGCCACTCTCTCCACAGCCCCACGTTGTAGTCCTCCTTGTGGATCATATACTGTTGGCTGGCCATGCAACAGCCTGCATGCACTTTAATTCCTATGGTCAACTCAGTTTATTCTCATGAATGACAGCTGACAGTATAGACAAGGCTGAGTGAGGATGCCTCCTGTTCCTTGAAATGGTAACCATGAACAGAGGGTTCCTGTGTGGTTATTTTCTATTAATTTTTTTGCTACTGCTACAAAATCCACTTGTCTCATCCCAGTGGATGGGACACATCCTCTCCTACCAGACTGTTACAATCAGGCTGATTCAAGACCCAAAATACTGCCATATCCTTTCTCATAAAAACCTGCTTTTTATAATCCCCTCTGGTATAATTCACCATTAATGCATCTTTGTGATGTGGTATTCCAAATTTTACCAGTTGGTTGAGTACGGGGAAGGGAATTCTTTAAATACTGAAACTATCCTCAGAGCAGCTACCAGTGAGTACTCAATTCCAGAGGGTCAAGAAGGGCTCAGATGACTTTCGGTAAACCAAATTTCCTGCACATTCCAGCTGTCAAAGCAGCCATTGGCCCCTTAAACCAGCTCTGAACTGAACATTTTTAATCATCCCCCTAATCCCTTTTCAACAGCAATTAACTTGTCCCAGGAAGGCTCAGTTACAGTTTTTGCAAAGTAAATTATTAACACACTTGTTAGTAGTTTGTTATTGTGTGTGTGGGAACAGTTTGAAAAGATGGCATGGGGTGCTTTTCCTTTGGGAGCCACTGGAAAGAAAAAAAGTTTAGAAAATTCATTTGCAAAATGAGTCTTTTGAATCCCTAAACAGCAGACATTTGATTTTACTGCAGGATATTTTTGTTAGTTCAGATAATTGAATAAACACACTGCTCACAACACCTCTTATCCATCTGCTCTGAGGCGAGTGTAACATGAGTATTTCTGTTTCCTTTCAGGACAGCATATCCAAACCCTGACTCAGCAGCACGTAACTTGAAGACAAGTCACGTACTTCACCAGGCCACTCATGTGGGGTGGCAGGTCACAATTTTCTCAAAGTCTGAGATGCTTTCTGCACCCAGCCTTATGAACCTATGCTGTCCCCAAAGGCAGCCAGTCTGCAGATTACACCTGGCACCCTGCAGGATCTGGACCCACCAACAAATGTCCCAGGACTAGCAAGCTTCTACTGAATCTCACAGCATGGTGGTGCTGGGCGGATGATAAGGGTACTAGGTCCCTGGGCATCACACCTTACATGCCTTGAAGTTTTTACAAGAAGCAGAGAGACACCAGATTTTCCCTCTGAAAGTACCTGCAAGTAACTTCAGAGCTCTTTGACCGTACGCTTCTGACCAATATATTCTTTGACCTAGGAGCAGCCTCAGGGCCACTTTGTCCCAAAAACATAGGAAGGGTCCATTTGTACATGATTGCTCACAAATACCCAAGTACTTGCTTCCATGTCTTCCTGATTGTAAGCCTGTGGTCCCCAATCAATCATCAAAAAAAATCATCCCTTGAAGTTTACTTAGGTATGTTAGCACTATATGTGCTCTTGATGCCTCTTCTAGCACTTCAATTCTATGATTTTGTGTAGGAGAAATGAATAAAAAGCCAGTAGGTGTTTGGAAAAATATTTTGTTTCCCACTGAAGTAGGCAACAGTTATAAATATCCTCCAGACAGACTCCACCACCACAGTGATGGCAACTATAGGATGACAGCAGAAGATATCTCCATAGGAGAAGATGAGTCAGGTTGCTTCTGTGAAAACAAATTTACTTATAAGCTCAATTTCAACAGCCACTGACTTATATGACAGGGGAAAACCCAACTTCTTTCCCACTGAAATAAATTACTTTTATGTTGCTAGTGCTACAACATCACAACTTGAAAGCTATCTCCATTATTCCAACAACTGATTGATTTCCTCCTAACTGTGCAGGTGTGACTCTGCATTCATTTTGGAGCAAATTACACAAAAAAAATACAGTAACAGTTGTAAGAGAAGCCTAGATTACTGTTTTAAACTGTTTTTCTCTTTTCTTCTTTCTTCTATCTAATCCAAAGGGTACATGAGTGCAGAGTTCAAGTTCACAATAGGAAGGAAAAAAGACTAATGTCAAGAAAATAAAAGAGCTAAAGAATACTTGTTTATTTGTATTATTTTTGATACAGTGGCTGACACCCCACTGTGCTGACATTCAGTGAGACCTGGACAGGCTGGAGAGTTGGGCAGTGAGGAACCTAATGAAATTCAACAAGGGCAAGTGTAGGGTATTGCACCTGGGGAGAAATAACCCCATGCATCAGTACAGGTTAGGGACTGACCTGCTGGAAAGCACCTCTGTAGGGAAAGACCTAAGAGTCCTGGTGGACAGCAAGTTGACCATGGGGCAGCAGTATGCCCCTGTGGCCATGAAGACCAATGATCTCCTGGGATGCATTAAAAAGAGTGTGGCCAGCAGGTAGAGGGGGGTCATCCTCCCCCTCTATTCTGCCCTGGTGAAGCCCCATGTGGAGTACTGTGTCTAGTTCTGGGCCCCTTAGTTCAAGAAAGGCACAGAACTACTGGAGAGAGTCTCCAGCAGAGGGCTATGAAGATGATCAAGGGAATGGAACACTCTCTTATGAGGAAAGGCTGAGAGACCTGGTTCAGTTTAGCCTGAAGAAAAGAAGACTAAGAGGGCATCTTATCAATGTTTATAAATATCTAAAGCGTTGGTGTCAAGAAGATGGGGTCAAACTCTTCTCAATGGTGCCCAGTGACAGGACAAGGGGCAACAGAGATAAGCTAGAACACAGGAAATTCCATCTTAACATGGGGAAATCTTCAGTACTTTGAAAGCGGCAGAGCACTGGACCAGGATGCACCAAGAGGGGTTTGAGTTAGCTTCTCTGTAGATATTCAAAAACCTACTAGATATGTTCCTGTCCAGCCTGCTCTAAGTGAACCTGTTTTGGCAGGGGGGTTGGACTAGATGATCTCTGAAGGTTCCTTCCAAATCCTACAATTCTGTGATGGTGTGATTTTTTCTGTTGAGCAGGATGCATCACCTTGATTTAAGTTTTCTGAATACTGACAAAGTGACTTATATTGCAGATCTTGGTCTTAAAAATAAAGCCTGGGGACGAGTCCTTCATGCCCCCCCTCCTAGTTTTCTAGTACTTGCTTCCTTGCATTTCTATAGCCTATTGTAATCACACTTGGAAAAGCATAAATTGCAGAGGAATACTTCAATGCCATACTGCCTTTGCTCATGATATATAATCCTAGCAGATGGACATCAACTCAGTCCAGACTAGGTCCAGGAGTTTGACATTAACACATGCAGATCAGTCACATCTACCTGATTAAATCTATGTGGAATTTTGTATCATGTATCATAATGAACAGAATAAAATGTGAAAGCTTTTGGAAAAAGTCCACTTTTCTAAAACAACACTGAAGAACAGGAAAAACATGATATTTTTTGCTTACTATAATATTATATATTTTATTCTGGATTGTTAACATTCCTTTGTGTCACATGGAAACAAACTTTTATTAATGGAAATCGAAGCTCACAGCAAGGAAGAAGCATTTTCTGTCCTATTTCTGACAGTTCCCAACTGAGGAACATGTCAGACACAATATAGCTTTGCAATTACACAAGGCTTTAAAAGATGCTGGCAGATGTTTTGAGAGTTTGACATTCAGTATCAATAAGAAAACAAATCCATTACAGTTTCCCATCAAGTCAGAGTGATACTAGAACAGGACAGGGTATTTTTAGCACACTTATATTCCGTATCACACACCTAAGTCTACAGCTAATAAATATTTTTCCTCTTTTTGTGTGCTGAGTTTTCCAGTAGTATATTGACCAATTTATAATCAGATACAATTACAATTCATCGACAACTTTTTCCTCTAGAATTACATAAAACACTCTAGTAATAGCATTTTTTCCTGCATTGGCAAGGAGTATGAAATAAAAAACATGAGCCCTTCAGGACTCTACCCTCAAAAACATAGATGAAATGCATGGCCATCCAGTGCAGCATGTCCATAGCTCCTGGCAAGGCAAGATGTCCTGAAACTATTGATGTTATCATGAATTCTTGTCCAGATTAAAATAACAGACAGCACTGTGCCTGGAAAATGGATGAAGCTGACAGAGAGGAGGACCTTGCCCTCCAATTAATTCCTAAAATCTATAGACTCTTTCCCCATTAAGAGAATTGTTAGAATAATTGTTGGGTTTGAAGGGGAATCACTCATGAGTGTGATCTGTTTTCCTGTATATAATGTTATACTATTGTAGTCACATACATCTTGGTATATGAGGTCCACCCGAGGCTTCCTTTTCACTCTCAAGGATGTATCTCAGATCAGCCTTTGCATTTTCCCCTTATTTTTAAGAGTTCCAGTTTTCCAGACAGTTTCTTTTCTTGATAACGTATACTTTTTTTTCTTATTTGTCTGTAAAGGGTTTTGGGGTGACAGCAACAAAAAGCTAACTTTTTGGCCAATAAGTTTGTGATACATTAATAATAGTTTGATGAGCAGACTATATCTCCTGTAATAAACATAAATAGCTTTGACACACTCTAGAGGTTGTTATCCATGTCTTTCTCAAGGCAGAACATTGCTAGAAGTTTAATTTAGAGAAACTGCAACTTGAATTCAGAGAGTCAACATTAAGCTGAGAAACATATGGGGATTATGAAGAAGTTGCTGATTTCACTAAGCTGGAAGAGAAGATGGTAACATGAAGCTGAATAAGAGTATGTTTAATTAGTAGAACCCCTCTGTCTTTCTCACTAGCCTGTCTTTCTCACTTGCCTGGAAGCAGATCACTACAAGGTGGCAATGCAGCTGGAAGAACTGCAAAACCTCTGATTTTACTATATGTTTATTGAAAGGCCATCATATTCATTCTGATATCCCAGACTTTTGGGCAAATACCTAGCATATCACTCTTCCCATCAAGGTGCTTTTATCCCTACAGTAATCGTAAAATAAAAGATCTATTTAATCCCCTAAAAAAAATTCCCATAATTTTGTGAGAAAAATTTCTGTGATCGCATATAGGGAATAGTCCAGATATTAACCATATTGTTTAAACCTTTTGGAGTGAAATGATGGTGTATCTTGCCTGTGTAAGCTTAAAGCCAAGGAGGATCTGTACTTCTAAGTTTTTACCTCACATTTCTCTCTGCATTTTTAACCTGGACACATTCAGCCTTTCACTAGGTCCCATGCCTTGAACGTGATCAGCTATTATTTTTCCCAGTATTTTTCACATCTACTAATACTATTTGCTGCCTTTCCCATCTCTGATGTGTGAGCTGGCCAGTGCTCCCACCCTAGGGATAGTTCTTTAGGGGCATCACATCTCTGATCTGAGCCCTGTTATAAATGGGATAGTGATTCCCAAACTCTAAGAATGCACAAGAGAAGGAAAGAAAAGCAGTCAACTCTTCTCTCAAATGTAACACATCATTTTCATGCTGACACATTCATTTTGTATCAGAAGAAAAATTGCCCTGTTTTGCTTAACACCAATATCTATTCCTATTTTTATGCAATTGAGCACAGCAGTAAATTCAATATACTTGAGCATGGACCTGTTTATTCAGTGTAAATACATGTCTTTTGGGTAGTGAAGCTATCAAATGGCTGAATTAGCACGAGCTGAAGATCTAGATTTTATACAATTGGTTTATTTCCTTGAGCAGATCTGATTCCTGCCATTTGAAAGTTTAGCTCTGTGAGCAAGTTCATTTTTAAACACTGTTGCTGACGAACACAAAAACATCACCCAAACCCCTTATTTTGAATATGCCTTATTTCTGTATGTTTATATCAGCCTTTTAATTTTTCATACCTTTCTTGTAAAGGAAGGATAATTAGCAGGAGAAATTCTAGTTTACATGTAATACTGCTTTGAGTAATACTGGAATAAATAATCATCTTCCTCTAAATAAAAAAAAACAAACCACAAAACAACATAGTAAAAGGCTTATTCTGATGTTGTTAAGAAATATGCATGAAAATGTCCTCTGATTCTGAGTGCCTATGTGTTGCCACCCTGCACTGTGACTGTTGACACAGAAAGTAATATAATCTTGAGCCAGAGTCTGTTATTCTTTCCTGCAGTTATCTCCTTCTTTTCTTTTCTCTGCCCCAATGAACAATGTGGGTTTACCTCCATAATCAATCTAATTCACTTGCAGTCCTGTTTCAAAAATTATTCATGTGGAGTTGAATGCCTTTATTTCCTAGCAATGTCAGGGGTGAATAAGAAGCCTTTGTATTAAACATGCAGCTGACCTGCCTGAAAGGTTGAACTTCTAACTAAAATTGTTTTCTCTCATCATCTCTTTTATGAAGCCTTGCTACTGCTTTGGGACGACAGTCTAATCAAGCTAACTTCTGCTCCTTTTACCTGTTCTTTTTCTCTTTTTTGGCAGGTGGTGTGTGTGTCTTCTTTGGGGAAGGGTGGGTGGGAGGGAGTGGTTTTTGGTTTAGAGGTTATTTCTGCTTTTTGGAAGAAGCAGAATGAACAATGATTTTGTTAGAACTTTTGCTTGTGTGACTGCTTTGCTCACAGGTATCTAGAGGTTGTGTGTTCAGGCGATGAGGTTGCAGTGGTGGGACCACACTGTGTTTGGGCAGTCAGCACTGGTCTCAAAACTTTTGAGTGTGGAAAGAAGCAGCAAAGGCCATCTATTGTGAAATAGTTCCCACACTTGATTGGTGTTGGATGACCTATGTTTGAATGTGCTTATTGTCTGGGAATCCTCATGACCTACTCAAGATACTAACAAGCAGGACAAAAAAACCCATGCATGTGGCGAAGTCATTATCAAGGTCTTCAAGTCCATTCTCCAGTATTCCTTCAAATAATGCACGGGGAAGACTTAAGCACATCTAGACCTTTGTTTTTTGCAGCTCACCAAACTGCATGGGAGCCAATGTCTGTGTGCACACTGGGGTCCACTGCGGACTTCTGTGTTTTAGAAATAAGGCTTTAGTTTCTCAGAAGCCCCTTCAGGTATAAAGGAAATGGGACACTGAAAATATTTTAACTTGGACATGCAGTGATCCCACTGGAAGGTATCATTTAGAGGAACTTCACAGCTGCT